GGCAAGGATAAAATCCAAGGCACCCCTTTGACCTAGCCAAGGCTAGTTGCATGATTTAATCAAAGATTTTCTTGTTTTAACCAAAGAATTTATTACATTTGGATGCACTACATGAATGCAAACCCTAGACCTAGGGGTATTGGGGGAAATTTCTCTTCAAAGGTTGAATGGTGCCAATCACATTAATTGTGAAGCCCAATAACGATCCTTTGAAGAAGTCACGAATAATGCGAGTGGGATGCAAATGAATGGAATGCATGTATGCAATGTGAGGATATGAGTTTGAAAAAGTAATAAAAGACAATAAATATGTGAATGAAAATGTGCACGTGAGTGAGTAAAGTACGGTATGTGAAATGATAATATGAAGTGCATGTGTGCAAGTGATGATAAAAGCGTTTTGTGTGCAAGTGAAAAAACATAAAGGTGCACGTGTGCAAAATGGGAGGAAAAATGAAAATGTGATGAGGGTATAAAATAGTAGAGTGGATTCAAAAATGCATGAGCCTAGGGAATTTATGCATATTGGGTATGGGGAGACCTAAATCGTGACTCAATTTGCCCTTTTATAGAGGGAATACAAGCGTGCTAAGGCTTAGAAAAAGCCACACTCGTCTATATCCCATATTTAAGGGGACTCTCAAGCAAATGAACCCTATAATTAGCATGAAATGTAAAAATCCTAAAATGGAGGGAAAAGGGGTTCGAGGGGCATGCAAAATGATAAAACTAAAAAAAAAATGCATGACATGTAATGAACATGCAAACATGTACTAACGAGGAGAAATCCCTAAGGGTCTAGCGTTGGACTAGCCCATTCTATGAATTCCGACTAGCGTTGGACTAGTGGAAACTTACATTCATCCATTACATTCATTCAGGCTATGGAAAGCGAGTAGACATGCCAAACACTTATAAACACATAGCACATAACATTTAGCATGCTCGACTAGATGCAAGGCCCTAACAAAGCAAATTAACACGTAGTAACTAAGCATGCAAGACACATAAGACAATTAAAGCCCTAACTATTACATTTGCTAGCTAGGCACATGTCTTCAACAGGTCTTCATCGAATGCTCCTCCAAGCCCTATCTATTACAAGCCAAGAGGTGTACACATACCCCATAAAGAATAACTTAAATAAAAAGCAAAAGTAAATGACATAAATAAAAGGAATTAAGGAAAAGCTAGGAAAGCAAAGTAGGCATGCAATTCACTTAACACGTTGGGTCACATAGGAGATAAACAAAAGGGATAAAAGAAATTATACCGCCCCTTTGAATGGTGTCCAAATGAAAGAAAAATGGCTTCAAAATAATAAAAAGGTCAAGGTACCTCAAATAGTAAAGTATAACAAAGTCACCAAATCTCTCCTAATTGCAATTTAAATGAAATCAAATAATGCATAAGTTTCAAGAAAAGGACCCACCAAGGACCCAATTGCAAGCATTTATAACCATTCAAAGCCAATTGAAACATTTCAGAAACTTTGAAAGTCAAAGAGCAAGAAAAAGGCCAAAGCCCATTTATTTCAGAAAATTCAAGAAATTAGGCGAACACAAGCTCATTTGATCATAAAGTTCACAAATTCATGCATTAAGTACCACCTAAACAAATAAAAACAAACGAGCAATCGAATTGCAAAGTTGAGGCTACTAAGGACTCAATTGCGAACGCTAACCAAGCACTCAAACCTAATCAAACACTTTTAGGAACTTCAAAGGTCCAAGGGCAAAGAAAAGGGCAAGTAATAGTTCAGATTGCAAATACTTTAGGACTCAATTGCAAGAAATTAAAACATAATTGGGCCACAGTGCAACAAAAGAGGGACTTTGGGGGTCCATAGTAGCATAAAAGGAAATATGTGGGGTTGATTTGCAACTTTTGGAAACTCTTCTCATGCAAATTTCATGCAAACAACGAAACAAGCAAATGAATTTTTTGCAATAAAGCCTTTCAGCAGCTAATGAAACTTCCTTTTGGAAAAACCAGACTTCACACAAAAAAATCACCTAACACTACTTCTCAACACCTCTTGACAACTAAACATTTTGATTAACACAACTCCATCATAAACAACAAACCATTAAAGTCAAAAGAAAAGCCAAATGGGAAGCACAAGTTGCGGCGGAAAATGAAGCTTGCTGCAATTCCATTTCCAACCATGATTCCAGACTTCATCCCAAACTTTCATTTAGACTTCAACTTACAATGAACGGCAAAAACACATTCTCACATCCAAAACTTGATTTTGAAACAGCAAAAAAGAAAAGCAGAATGTCGTCCATGCTGCTGCATCAAAACTTGGCTTGTTGCAGCACATTCTCATGCGCAAGCTATAAGCGTCAAGCAAATTGAAGCCGGGCAACAAGACTATTAACCATTCCCCCCCTTTTGTTTCTGAACATAAAGCCCATTATATTTAAGTACTCTAACATTCATGCAAAAGGATTATGCAACCTGATATGAAAGCCAAACCTTCTTCTTTTGCTGCAACCTCTGTTGCAGCATTTCCCTTATTTAACCTATATGGATTCAGGTAGAGGAACCGAAAGGCAAGATCCCAAAAGCACAACCTTGGGACAGGGGGAAGGGAAAGATAAACGTCACAAGAAGAGATGAACACTTGCTGCGAAACTTCAACCCGACCCAAGACAAACAAACCCAAACAAAATGAAGAAAGCTAATGACTTTTATTTTCCAAGTCCCTAATCACGCGCATACCTTGTAAAAGGAAAACAGAAACTAAATTCTTGCTTAATGCTAACCGAACCAAAACCCCTCAAACAAACTCTTAAGCAATCCTCAAGATACCACAGAAACGCAAGGAAAACTGCTGCTGTGACATATGAACGAATCAAGAGAAAAATCAGTTGTAAATATCAAAAAAAAAATTCTGCATTTTTCAGACGCAATTTTTCTTTCTGCAACTTTCTTATATTGGTTCTATCCCCATCATCAACCAAAAGACAGATGAAATCCCAGCCAAAAGCATGCTTTTAACGTCAAACACAACTACAATTCCAACAACTAAAGGAAGAAAAAGATGATTTGCAGTCATCGTCATCGAACATCAACATGACTTAGAAAAAAAAAAAAACAAAAATCATGCGTGCAAAGGCTCAGACCTCTTACAAGAATTGTGTCAAATCAAGATTGAGGAGAATCCATGAATACCTGAGAGCACTTAAGTTGCTAAATCGAACAGCCTGACAAGCGAAATCCACCAACTGGGTTGCGAAAAGTTCCAGCTCTGATGCAGAGGATGCTAGCCGAAGATCTGTTCTTGTTCTGGTTGTCTTCCTCCTTTTCAACCCTAGCCGTTGCTCCTTTTCTTCTGGTTTTTTCTCAGCTGTTTTCTCCCGCCGTTATGTATTCTCGGCTCTCCCTTTTCTTTTTCTCCCCCTTTGTTCCCTTTTTTAAAGATCCTCCCTTTTTGCTCTCTCTCTCTCTCGTTCTCTCGTTCGCCCTCTCCTTCACATCCAAGAACCTCCTGTCGTTACTCCCTCACTCTTGCTCCCAGTTTTCTGTTTTGCTCTCAGGCCCTTCTCAGCCGTCCACTTCTCTCTTTTTTTTTTTCGGTTTCCTCTTTCTTGCGGCTGCTGTCCCTCTTTTCTATTTATACGAAACCTCCCTCACCCTAAAACCTTCAGTCCTTCTTCTGCAATTTGCAGCCAGGGGCTGCCCCAAAGTCCTCTTGCAAGCTGCGACCAAAACGCAGCTTGCGTGCCGCGGTTCTCATCATTTTTATTTTTTTTTTCTTTTCTTTTTCAACAAGCAATATTGATAAAAATAAAAATAAATAAATAATAATAACAAATTAACAAAATTGTCAACAAAAACTAAGTAATAATAATAATAATAATTTAAAAAACTAAACAACTAAAACAACAAAAATGGACATTTTTAAACTTTTTTCAAAATCTTTCCCTCTTTTTTCTTTTCTTTTTTTCAAAATAACTTAATAAAAATAAAGCGCCAAAAGATTGAATTTAAAAAAAAAAACATATTTTTGTGAACAAAAATTTTTCCTTTTTCCTCTTTTTTCATGTCCTTCTTTTCTCTTTTTTTTCATTTTTCATTTTTCTTTCATGATTTTTGATATGAAAACCAAAATAAAAACAAAACAAAATAAAATAAAAACCCTAGAATTGAAACAAATAAAATTAAGATTAAATCAATCAAACAAACAAATAAAGGTAAAAAAAATCAAAAATTTGGTGTCTACAGTTTGCCCCTCTTTGTCTGAGTTTTGAAAAAACTTGAGACAAAGAAGTAGACACCAAATACTTACCTGCGTTATTCGGCTGTGAACGTCCCGAATGATGGGGACTGACCCCTTTTGATGAGATTAACTGGGACGAGAAATTTTTTAATGGACTATTTGAACAAGAAATTTAAAACGGGACTGACCCGAACAGAAAATTTTAAAACGGGACTGACCCGAACAGAAATTTAAACGGGACTGACCCGAACAGAATTTAAACGGGACTGACCCGAACAGAAATTTAAACGGGACTGACCCGAACAGGAATTTAAACGGGGCTGACCCGAACGGAATTTAAACGGGACTGACTCGAATAGAATTTAAACGGGACTGACCCGAATTACCCAATACGTACTATATCCCAATCATGAAAGAAAGAGATTAAATATTAATAACCTAAATTCAAATCACGTTCCCTGTGAAATTGAATCAACTTGATTTTAGCCTCTACTATATCTCTCATCCTCAATAAGATTGCACAATGGGTTAATCAAAAAAAAAAAAGGTAAGGGCTATACCTAGTTGTGTTGAATCTAGACATTCATATTTAGAAGTGGGAGCATTCTGGATTCATTTCGATATGTTTTTCATTTTTTTTAAATCGTCTATCAGATGTGCTAAATTGAGTTTTAAACTAGCACAAATTCAATGGAAACTTAACTCCATGCATGTGACAACAGTTTGGTAATAATACCTTCTGAACTAACTTAAGCTGAATGTGGATATTACTAACCAGAAAGCATTATTGAAATCCCCACCATAGGACAAAAACATGAGCAAGAAGACTTCTTCTTCTTAACAGCACCCGAAAACCTGCTACGGTCATTCTCTTTGCAACACATGTCGCCATTGCAAACTAGTGCATGCAGTATCAAAACCCTACAAATAAAATCTACATCAGAAGAGCTACATGGTAGATCAACAATAGATCAATTCTTAATGCTGTTTTATAAGTTACTAGACAGTTTACTTCTTCCACAGCCAAAAGAAATAATCCATCACTCTTAATCACAAGATACTTAAAAAAACATAATTATAGAGCCATAGGATTTGTTCCCAAGAGTGATTAAGAAATAGTTTTAACTGCTTTAACTGATTTCTAACATATAAAATTCATGATGACTATTTCCATACATTTTAATACCTGATTAATTGTTTCTATCCAGTCTGAGCTGATGTCAAATCTTCACACTCTGCAATACAAATTCCACCCCTCTCCTGCTCAATCCAAAAAGAACAAGAATAAGAAAAAGGAAACTGGTAGATACAAAATTTGTTAGACTAGACCAATTATATTATTACCGACCTTTTTTTTTAACCATTGCAGATGGTGATCAAATGAAAGTACAGTTTTGCAATAAAAACCTTTCTTTAGTTACCATTGCAACTTAGGAACAACCAAATATTAATCTTGAAGAATCCCATAATCAAGTATATTGTTAATGAACAACCAAACACACAAATGGATTTATGTATGAGGAGAAATATATGAGAGAGAGAGAGTTTCTTGGATGAATTATTTCAAGTTATTGCAAGAGAATGATATTTTGCCACACTTCTACAGGATATCTATATAATTTGCACAGCATTGACAATTAAAGGGGAAAATAATCAGAATACCTTTTCCTGGAGCATACTTGAAAAGTTCAGATTCTGTCAAATGTTGTGAAAAAATAAATGGCCATGCCTATGGACCTCAAAATATGAACCCAAAGCAAGAAGCTAGTCTAGAAAGTTTTTACACTTTTGAACTGGTGGCATATTTGGGTCCATTTAGCAATTGAAGTAAAAGTAGCAATTTTATCATTCTTAAATGAAAAAAATTTCCTCAAAATTATAGAAATACAGCTTGAAACTTTTCTAGAAATAGAATATCACAAACTATACTTGCAGATGATATTTAATTCTTTACTTTCAACAAATTCAAATAGTGGCTATCCAAACTGAACTTAACAGGCAAGCTAAAGCACCAACGCCCATGAAAAATGAAGAAAAATAGCCTGTTCAAGTTATCACTTAAGTGATATGCCACATTGAGGTTCTCCATGAAAGACAAACAAGAAGTCTTGAAAAGAAGTAGTACAAATCCACTTAATTGCACCAAATTCTGTGGATTGCCACACCAAACAATTGAACTCCCTAAGGAATGCGGCTTCTCCACCAGACTGATGATCTCTGAGGTGTTTCACAAACTATCACCAAGAGAGCTCCACTAAGGCTCAGTTGCAACAAAGATGATAACTAATAACAGGATCAAATGCAAACCTAATTAATGTTTGCTCAAGGCCAAAAAACAGCAGGACCAACATGTTGCAACTAATGTGAAGGTCCTCTTTGTCCTCCATCCATGAACTTCTTGCTATCGGGATCAATCTTCAGCATCAACATTAGTAATGAAGGATTGTTCTGATTTTAGCGTTCTGATTTTTAGCAGATGAATCAAGTAAAATGGAAAAAGTAGATGCATCCAGTGAGAATCCTCTATGAACCATTTCTTCATAACAGACCATTGCATCGTCATAATGACCTCCCTTGAGGAGTCCTTGCAGAATAACATTGTATGTAGCACCATCTGCCAAGCAACCCTTCTCTTCCATTTTTTCAACAAGCTCTTTGGCTTCGATGAGCAGACCTTCTGAAAGCAAGCCAGCAATCATGATGGTGTATGTTCTGACATCAGGATCCAATCCTTTAAGGCAGAGACTGTTGAAAAGATCTCGAGCACTATCGAGCCTTCTACTTTTGCACAACCCATTAAGGATGATACCGTACATTTGTACATGAAGATCTACTCCATCAACTTCCATTGAATGGAATAACTGCAAAGCTTCATCGACATTTCCAGTCTTGCACAACCCATCCAACATGACGCAGTAAGTGTGAAAATCAGGATTTAGGCCAGCAGCTTGCATCTCATCAAAAACTTCTCTTGCACTGAGATACCTTCCTGCACTAAATAACCCCTGCAGGACAGTGTATAAACAACAATATTAGGTGTTAAACCTTTGTGTTGAAGTTCTCGAAAGAGATTCATGGCTTCTTCCACTTCCTTGTTCTTGAAATAGGCATTTATCAGAATAGCATAGCTATGGAGATCAGGAGTAAGGCCACTAGTAACCATGGTATTAAAGATTCTCCCTGCTTCATCTATTCGGCAATGTAAACAGTATCCATCCATTAAGGAACTGTATGTGACCAGATTGGGAGTCTGACCTTGCTGAATCATGATGCTGACTACCTCTTCAGCATCTTCTGCCTGTCCTTCCTTGCACAGTGCATCCACCACTATATTAAAAGTAAAGACATCCGGAACAATTTTATAATCCTTCATCTCAGAGAAGAGCTCTTTGACCTCCTTCCATCTGCTTAAGCTGCAGAGACCCTGAATCAAACAATTATAACTGACAACATCCGCAGGTAAGCTCTTTTCAATCATCTCCCGGAAGAGTGCAAGAGCTTCATCAACCATTTTATCCTTGCACAAGCTGTCAATGATAGTGTTGTACACAACTGTATAGGTTTACAAGATCTTCGTCCTTTTTCCATTGATCTGAGGAAGTCGATGGCAGTTTGAGTGTTTCCCACCTTACACAGGCCATCTATTACAATTCCAAACATAACTTCATTGGGCTCGCAAACTTTGTTGTATATTATTTTTTTGAACAATTCTTGTGCCTGAGGAACCTTATGCTCTCGAAAAAGTCCCTTAAGTAAAGTGCTAAAGCTGGCTACATTGGCACAAGACCACGTTTGAAGAAGCCACCCAATATGGAAAACCCCAAATCCACTCGACCCACGAGGCAGTAACAATTAATCACAACATTGAGAGTGTACTCATTAACTGGAATGCCCTTGACGCACATGTCCCTAAACAGGTGAATAACGGAACAATAATGCTTATTCATCTTAACAATACGGTCCAGCAGTTGAGTGAAATCAATAACAGAAGGCAGAGGCCTCATTCGGACCATCTGCTTGTACAAGCTCAGAGCATCATCAAGACTGTTGATATTACTAATATCATTCCTCAAACCAGATTGAAATTTTAGAGCTTTTCCAGAAGACGACCTAATTTTACTACTACTAGCAGAGTAAAAAGTTAATTGGGGTATAGGGTTTGCGACTGCAGAGAGAAATGAAGCAAGAGTAGTACAACTAGCAGGAGCAGTAGTACCTAATGAAGCCGCTGCTTCCTGAGACTGAGCAATGGTAACAATTATGGCGGAAGAAGCTCTTCTCTGCATCGTCCTCATCGTCTCCTGGTCTGAGATGAATTCTTGATCTCTGTTGTTCTAGTAACTCATTTCCCGCTAATTGCACCAATTTTTTAATGGCTATTGTATTAAGGGAAAACTGCACTTTTCATCCCCAATATTTGGGATATTGGATAATTTCAGTCCAAAAGTTTCGATCAAAATACATTTCATTTTTTCTAGTTTTATAATTTCGATCAATTAAAGTTTCATCCAAATACATTTCATTCTATATAGTTTCATAAATTTGAACAATTGAGGACAATTGAATTATTGTCAACCAATTTGGACTGAATATCATCACATGACTAATATGTCAGGTTAATCATTGTATTATTAATACTTAATTCAGTTACTAATTAAATTATATAAATAATAATGAGTGTGTTTGAATAAGAGATTTTTTTTAATTTATGATATGATATGTGTGAGACAAAATAATAGATTGGAAGATAGATAGACAATTTGAAAACATGTATATGATGCAACAAAACAAATTTTTGCAAATAAATGACAATCTAAACAATTCTTTATTTCACGTAAATATTTTTCTCCAATTGGTTTGTAATAAGATTGTTTGAAAATTTTCTCCAATTGGCCATAATGGGGTTGTTTCTTCTCCGCGACTTCAATCCCTCTCAATCTTTTTGTTCAATTTGTGATTAAGACGAGGCTAATGGTGGATGAAATTTTCTTAATTTTTTCAAATGAGAAAGTGAATTAAAAAATGATTTTTGAGGTTTTGGTTGACCAATGTTTTTTGTGTTTTACTAATTGGTATGCTATGGTCATGTGATGATATTCAATTCAAATTACTTGACAATCCATCAATTATCCTTAATTAGTCAAATTTATGAAATTATGAGGATGAAATGTGTTTGCATGAAATTTTAGGAATGAAATTGATCAAAATTATAAAATTATGGGGATGAAATGTTTTTAATTGAAATTTTAGGGATAAAATTGTCCAACACTCAAAACAATAAGGAATAAAAAGTGCATTTTCCCTTATGATTAAAATCCTCAGGTTCTATATTCATTGAAGATTATAGTGGTCCAAAGAAAAATAAACTCTAACTGTAGTCATAAATTTTTTTTAGGGGGTAAAATGACGGTAGTCATCGTTGAAAATAAAAAGAATATAAATGTTCTTATTGTGGTCAGATATTACAATATTTCAGTAGAAGTGAGCATAATCAAGAATTTAGTAGATTAAATTTTGTAATTTTCATAATCTTCTTTTGTGAGATACTGACTTAATTCAATTTTGAGTTGAACCATTTCAATTTTGATTCAATTTTGAAATAAGAATTGAGTACTACTGAAGTCAAAATGAATGATATACATACACTGCTGTTATATAGTACAATATGCATTATAACGTAATGTAATAATATATTTCCATAGTAGCATATTTTCTCTATACTTGAATGTATATAAGACTAATATACATTTTGCACATGATATTCGTTTATAGTATATATTTGTATTATTTATGTATTTAAATCCTTTTTTCGATTTCGAGATTAGTAATTTCCGGATTCAAGAAACCAATACAACTTTCATACCTATGTTGAAACACATGAATCCGCATTTGTTCAAATTTTCAAATTACCGATTTCAAATTTTTAAATTCGTTTTGAAATCAGTCGTTATTCAATAAATTCTGAGCTTGCACACCCCTAGGCTCATGTCTTATTTGTTCTTGAAAATAGTCGGGGTACCTCTCATTGTTACACCCTCCGTTTTTCTTTAGAGGTGGATGTGGAGTCTAGTATGATTGGCAAATCAACGCCATCAAGAAAAGGGAAGGCCTCATTTTCTCGAATGAGACAAAAAAAGATAGAATTGACTCAGCAAGTTCCTGTCCATGGAGCTTGAATAATGAAGTATTCTGTTAAGATCTGTCTAGCAGGGTGCTCAAATTGGATTAGCAATCGATTCCATGTTTCAAGTTGCGTTTTGAAACTCAGATCGGACCGATCGATTTAACCGATTGAACCAAAAATTGAATAGGCATCCTATCCGACTTATCCTAAAAAACCATCAAACAAAAATTCGGCATAATTAAAAATCGTGTTTGGCTGGAAACATGATGAACCATTTCGAATCAAATTTTTTTCCCATCTTTTCCTTTTTACATTTTTTGTTTTTATTTTTGATTCTTTCTTTTAACTACTCTCAAATATCTTTACATATCCTACCATAAATCTCTCTCAAACAACTCCAATGGAAGATCTAAGTTCAAAAAGGGATAAAAACATACAAAAAAGAAAGTAAAAAAATTCACCTAGAAATATTTTATCAATTTTATGATTTGATCCCTAGAATACTAGAAAACTATTATTACACCTAGAAACATTTTAGAACTTATAAGTACAGCCCTAAATTCTTGTATTCCTTTCAAATAAGCCCTTCAATTTGGTTCTAAACTTGTTGAATATGCATTAAATTGTAAATTGCATAAATTTCTACTTAATTATACTACCTTATTTGTATTTTTTTGTAAAGTATCTTAGAAACATCAAATATACATTGAACCTACCTTTCTTAGTATTAATATGTTTTTAGAAATTTTAGGCATAAATTTGGCCGGATTTAAAGGGCATTTTTGTCCATTCAAATTTGAAGTTTCGAGACTAGCATCAAAAACCCTAAAAGAGGTAACCCTTCAATTTTTTAAGCACACCTTAGATTTTTCTTTACAAATCCTATGAAAATCGAGTTTTACCAAAAGATTTTGACAATGAAGCTTTTAAATGGTTGGAAAAAACACCACATGCAAGGCATGGTGCAAGCTTTTTTCTTATGGGTAAAACTCGAGTTTCAAAGGATTTGTGAAGAAAAATCTAATGAAGTACTTAAGAAATTGAAGAGTTACCTTTTTTTAGGATGATCGATGCTGGTCTTGGTGCTTCAGTTATGAATGGATAAATGCCCTTTAAATCCAGCCAAATTTGCCTAAATCATCGGAAGTTCTTAAAGTGTGCAGTTTTAATTATTCAAAGGTGAATTGGAAAAAAATTTAGACAAGGGACCAAAAGTAGACAACAGCAATAGTTTGGGTTCCCGGGTTTTTTTCCTAAAATTAAATATATTTATGACATCATGATGATATCATCCGGTTCTTGGATGGGATCGAATCCACTGGCCCT